GTTTTATATTTTATTTTTGTGTATTGACTTGATGTAAGATGTGTTTTTCATATTATATCTGAATGGAGAGTAAATAAATAAATAATAACAACCAGGAAATTAAAATGAAACCTATTATTTTAATTAAAGAATGGTTTTCGATTATTAAAAAACTGTAATTAAATTTTGACTTTCATGCAATTTCAATTTTTAATTTTTTTCAATGACTTTCTTTAAATTGCAAATCAATTATTAGAATTAAGAGGGTAAAATCAAATTTAAGGAAAACTTCAATGACAGAAGTACGAATGAAGTTGAGGAAAAGATTTAATTATTTTAAATACTGGAAAAAATTAATTGTATCATGCGAAATTCATATTGAAATTTATATAATTGTAAATTTTTATTGTTTACTGGTCCTTCATCTGCATCTCCAAAGGATTTGAATTCCAATCTGCGTACATCATGCAAATGAAATTAATAAAAGGGGTGCTCTTTTCACAGCTGAACGCACGACTTGGTTGGCATTTGCGCTTCGGAGCGAGAGGTGCGCGCGCGACACTGCCGTATATATTTAATTGTGAAATGAATGTTAATGAACTTTTGCGTGTATAAGTCAAGTGTGTTGGTCATGCCAAGCAAGCAGGCCGGGAAGTGAGCTGCCAGCAACAAATGTGTGCGCGATTTCACTTTCACAATTATTGTGGAGTTATAATACATATTATCATATATAGGCCCAGCATATTTAATTCGCGCTGGGAAAGCCAATCTGACTAACTAATGAGCTGCGAAACAAGCCTTTAATGTTGGTCCATTCCAAGGATGAATTAGTCATAGAATCTGCTACCTAATTTCAAGATTAATCATAATTAATTGCAGACTCTATATCATTAAAATGGATAGTAAAAAAATTAAAAATATTTAAAAAAAATCAGTCTCATTTACATAATATTTTCTTTCTCAACCATTTAAATTAATTTACACTATATTTTATTATTAATAATTGGCAATAAAATTAATGGAAATTAATTTTTACTAGTTTGATATTAACTTGTTTTTATACGAAAAAAAAGCAAGATAGTATTATTTATTTTTACACCTTTTATTATTGTCTTATTCAAATCTAATCTTTTGATTTTTCATTTTTGGCAACTATTGGAAACAAAAATTGAAATCACCAGCATTTTGTGAAGACTTGAATTTACTTTATCACTAAAGATTTGTTCATTCTAGTTTGCTCTAATATTAATTTAGAAAAAAATAATTAATTATTTTTTACCAAATTTATTTAAATAAAACAAATGATCTGAAATATTTCTGCGCGAATTTCAACAGCGAGCAACAGTATAGAGCTGGAAACTTCCCAGCTTGTTTGATTTTTGGCAACTTGCACCCTTCTTTTATCGTTACGAAACGCACGTTATGCACAGCCTCGATCTCTCGAACAAACAAGTTCACAGCGAATCTATCTTGCCCCTGAAATCTGCTGGGTTTTGTTGTTTGGCTCACGCGAGAGCGCAGATGGAAAACGAGCGAGCGCCGCGAGCAACTTGTGATAGGGCTGAAGTTTTGCCAGGAATCTGTTGGTATGTGCGAAATAGGCGACGATTCATTGAGATAAATAAAGAAGGACGCAGTCATTTGCGGCGCGGCCTGAGCAAGCAGAGACAGACTGATCGCAAACAGCCAAGCGAAGAAGAACGTCGCCGACAGAGATATTCCAAAATTAAATTTAGCAAGTAGGTCTCACTTCACACTGTTGAGCAATTTGCAACCCATCAAGTGCTCCCTGCTAACCAAAACACTGCTAAAAGCTGAAACAAGTTTTAAAAAAGTTGAAAGAATCATATGGTAATAAATAATTTATTTTCTGAAAATCGGGCAGTCGAATGTATGAGACGGTTAAAAAATATTGATGGTAAATAAATGTTATAAAAAATATTAAATTTTTTACTTTTATATTTATAAAGCGAACTTTAAAATTTAATTTTAAATAAGCATAATTTGTAGTTAATTCTTAATTATTATTTATTAATTTTAAATCTGATTTTGTGTTTTAGCTGCAGTTCTTTGAAATTTTTTTTGTTTAAAATATTTATTTTAATTTAATTGTAATAACTAATGTTGTTATTATTTGCAATTACAAATATTCAAGAGTAAGTTGTGTATTACTTTCATTACTGAAATTGATCATATTCATACAAAAAATATTTAACAATAAGACGGTACATGGCAAAAAAAAACATGGATAGTAAAATCAATGTAAACTGGATTCTTTATAGAAATGAAAATTTATTAAACATAAACTGCCCCTAAACTTCCACGAGGAATTTCATACATTTTGTTTAAAAAAAAAAATAATAATAAGAAGATTGAATAAATAGATTTTTCTATTTTTATTTATTTCTTTCTACCTCAATTCGTCATCAATTCATTTTAAAAATTAAAAAAGACCACGCTGCTCTACAACTTTGGCTGCTACAAAGTTTCGATACAAAAACCGATTTTCATATCCCCTTGGGGTTCCAATGAGACTCGCACCCGGAAGTTGACAGAGCCGCATTATACGCACTCTCTGCCTCGCAAACAATCCCTGCCAGCAACAAAGAAGGAAAAAAATGAGACTTCGCAAGTTGCGTGTCTGTGCGAAGCTCAAATATTTGCAACGGCGCGGGATGATGCCAAATCCCAGGGGAACGAGCGGCCGCAGACTATGTTATACTTTCCCTCGGTACCAATAAGACGCGGCGTGACTAGGTAGGTACACGCGTGACGTCACCGGTACCAAAAGCGGCGCCGGTCGACGAACCCTTCGCAGCGACTGAGGCAAGCAAAGGTACGAGTTTCACTTTTCAACGGTGAAAGTGCGCGAATCGTGACACCGCGAAGGTTATGCTCGAGTGTTGACTGTGGATAATTCGAAATGATGAATTTTATGTTGTAACTTAACCGACTTGATGCTTTTTGCAACACGAACTTGCCGCTCTCTGCGGTGCCAGCAGCTCTCTGGTTTCACACCGACGCTCAATTTACATTTTGCATAAAACTCTGATGTAAATTTATTGATTGAAAGATTAAATATTTTTTATTTATTTATTTTATTTATTTATTTTTTTTATTTAGGAAAAGTGGAAAAGTGCCAGTAATTGTCTACCTGATGTTTAAATAATTTAAATGATTATTTAGAGAACGCTGCATAATTTCCACCACATTTTTTTACTCAAATTTGGAGTGTTCTATAGAAACAGAGCCATAAAATTACAGTTTTTAATAAAAGAATACAAATAAATTTTGCTAATTCAATAAGCTTTTGTTTTCATTTAAATAATTATAATTTTATTTCTCAATCTGCGCAATTTTGCAAACGTGACATTGACGACTTGTTGAGTTAGTTTGTTAATTAAATGAGAGAAAGATGCGATTTTTATCTCAAAACGGTGCTCTTCGCGCAATTTAACTAAGAAAATGTAAATTGAATGTAAGGGCAGCTCTCACACTCACTCTCGCTCTTATTCGGTATGCCTGCGAGGCGCGACTTGACCTTTCAAAAATAGGCATTATTTCTCAGGTTTGCTCGCCCACAATGCATAGCCCCCACGACACCTGACCCGACCTCTAACTCTCTAATTTTGAGCCAACATGCGTTAACAGAAATTGCCAGGCGTTTATTGATAAAATATTAGACATTAATTTTTTTTTTTAAATTAACGATTTTTTTATCTCATTTAGTACTGTGAGTTAATTTTTAATTGAATTGCGACGGAAAAATTTGTAAACAATGTGTATCAAAATATAAAATTTACAAAATTGCAATATTGTATTCACAAATAATTTAAAAAATATTATTTTTATCAACTTATTTTTGCTTACATAGAAATGTTTGAAAATTAAAACTCATGAAAAAGTCAATATTAATTAAATATTAAAGTTATTTGTATAAAATTGTAAAATTAAATTGTTATGTCGTTACCTGCATATAAATTATAATTTATAACAAATCATTTGCCAACTTTGTTTGTAATGAATTTAATTTATTGTTTTGCATAAAATAATTGAAAAATTATTTAATTAATCGACATAGTTGTATTAACGTTGCGTAATAAAATCAACTACGATTTCCTGCAACACAGGTGTACGCATGCAGTACATAACCAAGGTATAATAATATATGAAAATAGAAATTTTCCAAATCGCCTGCAGCGAATCAATCGACCGGCAAGTTCTTACGCAATACGAAATTGAAAAAATAATTTTGCCCTCTCCTGGTGTGAGCAGCGCTAGAGCAAAACTGAAAGGTTACTCGAGGTCGTTGTGCGAGTGAGGGAAGAGCTGCAGCAAAGGTATATCAACTCAGGTTGCATTGTTGCTCAACCTGCAGCCGAGAGATTATTCAACCCGTTGGAAGAAAGTAAAAGTAATTAAGCAGTCGTTGCTCCTCTTCTTGTATCTGCTGCGGCGATTAAAGAACACACAATGGCTCAAAAACAGCTGCTCGAGTGGGAAATGAAAGAAAGAAAGTGGCAGTGCAGCAGTAGAAAGTGAATTCGGAGCTGCATTTATCTCTGGCGCTCACGAAGAGCCGATCTGTCTCTTCCCGATAAATTTACATGCGGTTTGCGTGCTGGCGAGGCGAGAGTGGCCGGTTGAATGACTCAAATTGAGCAGGAAGAACATCGCATGAACTGTCTTGAAAGTGAAAAAAACACTTAATGGCTTTTATATAAAAGTACATTACATTAGTGTCAATTTAAGTCATGAGCACGGATAAGGAACTAACTTTTGCTTAAAAAATTGACTGGATTTTAAAATCAAGTTGATTTTTTGTGAAGGATGTAAGATTACAGAAATAAGAAAAAAAATAAGAATAAAAATTTGTGTAAAAATAAAAAAATAAAAATTCGGAAATTAAGGATTTTCTAATTATTTGAAGGTTAAAAAAAATATTTAGATTAACTAGATTGACAAGAATTTATGCACACACAATATTAATTTTGCTAACAATTCGCTAATTTTTGTTACAGCTGAAAAGTGAGCACAATGCAGCCGGCAGATACTTCCACAGAACCAAAAAGTGAGTATGATTTTTCGTTTTAATTAAATGAAAAAAAAAAAACAGAAATGCGCTTCATAAATGTTGTTTTGTATTGCCTGAATATATTATTCACCAACCTGCAAAACTTATGAATAAAAAAAGGACAATGATTTGAAATTAAGACTTGAAATGATCGCAGTTGATAGTTTCAGAACATTTATTTTTGGTATTCGGTATGGTATCATTCTCCTTATGTTCGTGGACATGGTTCAAAATAATGCCCAGCATAATCCCCTCTCATACAAGCAAGTCACGTGCGAAATAAGCCTGACAATGAGTGAACATTGAAAAGCTCCACACACAACTTGAATGGCTTCTTGTTGGTTGAAAACAAAAACCAAATAATCGCCTCCCACATTACAAAATAAAAATCTCTATTTTAAGACAATTTCATTTTGTTGAATAACCTATCAACTTTTCTAAACAAAATTAAACATTCGATTATAAAATGACATTTGGCGGGAGAAAATTAATTTTTGAATAAATTAAAAAAAATTGAAACCCCGGAAGTAAGTTTTCTCATCATCCAATTTAATAATACAGTATGATACAATAGTATAAAAATGTAGTAATTATTTCCGTTTTCAACATGTAATCTTAAATCCCAATTAGTGTAAAATTATGACGACAATTTTTTTTAAATAATTTGATATAACAACTCATATAATGAATTCTAATGAGATTGGAAATCACACTGTGAAGTATTGTTTGTCACAATGATTGATTCTCGCCATCAGCTTGGCCTGCTGAGGATTAATTAATTTCACTGATGCCAAGAGGGAGTGTTTTTAATCAATTCTAATTCTAATGCTTAGATAATCGCACACTGAAATAAATCATTGTGACTGCCTTCCGATTTTATCCATACAATTTATTCTCTATATCGAGAAGTTAAAATAAAATTTATTGTGCAAATATGAATTGTGACGAATTTTAATCCATGATCTGTTTAAAAAAAATGCGATTTAATTTATGTCTCCAATTAATATTTAATGAATTGATTTTATTACTGGTTAATTAGAAGACTTTGACTAGAAGTTGAAAACATTGCAACAAATTTTCTGATAAAAAAAGTTAACATTGCACAGTTAATTTTTTTTTTAAATAGCAATAATAATATCTAAAAATAAAAATGCAATATTTTAAATGATTTTTAAGTTAAATACTTGTTTTTGCATTATCAATTTTGTTAAACAGAATTATTTTAAGGCACATATTTTGTTTTGAGGTTACTTGAGCTGCTTTGGTTATGAGCGTCGGTATATTTGCGTCAGTGTCTCATGACAATGGCGCTTCTTCGGCCGTCGAAAGGGGGTTTGTGAAGCGCTGGTCGGCTTTGCCGCCGATCAATAAAGCAACGCGCCACCGAGCGTAATTTTCAGCTGCAAGCAAGCGCCGGCGAGAGTGAAAGTGAGAGAGAGAGAGGATATGTGGGTGAAGTGCATTTCATTGACTAAAAAACTGGCAGCGTGGCCCGGGGTGAACGGCCGTTCTTGAGTATTGATTGCGAAGTTGCGCCGTTGCCAAGAATACAAGGCCAACGACCCTCAAAAACATCCCGAAAAGAGTGAACTTGTGGAGCACGCGCGCTGCAAGGGTGTGTTATTTCGTCTCCCGTGTGTAATAATAAACGGTGGTGCCGCTGTCGGTCGCGACCGCGGCGTGCACGCGGAAGCTGCTTTTCCAACCCCGCAGACTATTTTTAGATCGGTTATCACGCGAAATAATAAAGAGTCGAGCCGACACAAAAGTCGCAGAATGTGGCTTTTCACTCGGCAGACGCCGACTTTTGGCATCGACTCGCGATTTTTCGCAGCAAGAATTAACGATTAAAATCCGTGCCGCGGCTCACGAGATTTGGCAGCAAACTTTTGAAATTGTCATTTAAAAGCTCAGAAGGTTCATTTCAAAACGAGATTTATTAGGGAAAAACTTCCATTTGTTTGTGAAATTTTCAGAGAAAAAGACGTTATAAATTGTTTCTACCTAAACATTCTTGATATTTCTATTCAGAAAGTTAACAGACTTTAAAAAAGTTAATCAATTAACAGAAAACTAAAAGATTCGAGGAAAAATAAATAAACAAAAAAGCTAATAGTGATAGGTTGGATTTCAAAGTTTTGATATTATATTATTATTGTTGTTTTTATATCAAATAAAAATCAATTTTATTTGGCTACAAATACTGCTTACAATTCATCTCAATTAACTAGTGTGCCAAATGAAAATTTTAAACTGAAAGTCTTAAATATTTTTGTATTGGATTTATTTAAATAATATAAGACATCTGTTGAACAAGAACAAGTATCCTTATAAATAAAGATTAATAAATGAAATTTCAGAACTTATTTATTTATTTTTTATCTAATTAATAAATAGACAAGTAAGATTAATTTAAAGATTTACAGTAAAAAGATTTCTCATCTCAATTGATTAAAAATTAATAAAAAAAAAATAACTAAAATCTAATATAATGAATTTTTAATAAATTATAATCAAAACAGTACACACAATATAAATAATCATTTTTAATAATTTAGTTTAAATAAAATAATATGTAATAAAATGTAACATAAAAACATCTTTTGCAATTTTTTTTTTTCAATAAAATAGTAGAATAAATTTTTTTTTATTTTCTCTCCATTTCATACAGTCATGAATACACAGCTACATTAAAGTACAGTAAAAACTGAAAATACATTGTTTGGAAAGAGACATAATTATACTGTTCTGTAAAGCACTAATAACATTTTAAAACATCTTCATCTACTTATTGAAGCTGTGTACCAAACCTAATCTAAAATTTAATTTATATGCTTTATATAAATTCAAAATGCAAAACTTTGATGTGTGGGCAGAACCTAAAATTACTTATCTGATTTATTTGTGATTAAAAGGGCTTACGAGTTTTCTCGCTCCAATTCTAGCTCTTGGATAATTGCGCTATTGTATTTTTGCATTTGGCCGCAGATTCGGTGACCTCAATGAGCACGTGTCTCTCTGCTCTCTCAGACAGCACGCGTCTCTTATAGATCTCGCAGCATCTCTCTTCCCCTATGTCCGTCAGGTCTAAATCAGGAGCGCAGTGTAAATTCTGCGAACGTGTACTTTGCTGCTCACTTTCCACACACTTATCCTCATCCCTCATCTTACCAAATACACCAAATTAACATCGTAAAAAAAATTATAAATAAAATAATGTTTTAAATTACTAAAGGACTTTATTGAAGAAATTAATATAATCTTTTTAATTTACCTTGCATCCTTTGTACAGAAAAAGTCACACTTATTTTTTTGTTCTCCAATTGACTGATATATTTTTGGAATTAATTAAATTTGCAAAGGATTTCCAACGTAAGTAATGCTTATTATGTCCATTTTCTATAATCCACACATTCTCGAGCAAACTGAAAACTAACAAGTTTTTATGTACCACCGGCAATACAACTTTGATAAACAAAAAATAAGAGCAGACACTCAGTCTAGCCTGTATATATTATTGTGACCTGCTGGCCCGTCGTTATAATAAATTTGCCATTGTGTGTCTGCCGCCAAAGTCTCGAGAGGCTTCCTTGAATTATTCGAGAGCGCCGCAAAATACGAACAGAAAAAATAACACCTCTCTGTTACAAACACGCGTTCGCGTATATTCAAAAAACGTAAAACGAAAGGAGCACTTAGGCGCACTAAAGAGATGGACGACCTCGGCAAGGTCTGGCCCGTGGCTCGACCCTGATTTGGGCTCACCTTGCCTTGCCAATTCATATTAAAGAAGCGGCTGGTCCGGAGGAAATTAATGCTAGAAAGGTCGCTCAAAGAGAAAGAGTGATTAAGAAGGGGAGGCTCACCTTGTCGCAGAGTTAAATGTCAAGATCAGACGCCTTGAGAGACATACTTGCGAAGATTTCATATGAAAAGGTGCGTGTGGTGCTTCTCAGTCGGACTTGTTTTTATTTTCGTGCGAAGGAAAAACACATAGATTTTACGGAAGGCCAGCCCATGGCATTTGTACACACGAGACGACGTGTGTTTTGCACAGGGAGCAGCCTCGACCATGACATTCAAGGCGTGAAATTTTGTGCGCGAGATTTTTGTGTGTGCAAGTAGCGTGCTTTTAATGTTATTTACTTGGAGATTGTTGGACATGTTCAGGATATTAACTTTTTGTAAATATAAATGAAAAAAAGTTACTTACTAAAATTTTTAGCATAATTTTTAATATTATAAAAAAGCAAAGTGAATAAAATTGATTCACATTTTACAATTTCAATACTTTTTTATTCTTTTTTGTAAATATTTATTTTTAAATTTTAAATTTTTATTTGCATTTTAATAATAAAACAATTAACCATGGTTTTTATTGCTAAATTTAAAGTAAAATTTTAATTAATTAAAATAGCCAATGTACTTGAAAAAACAATGTACTACTGATAAAAATATACTTTGCTCAATATAGTCTGCGTTTAACGTTGCACTTCTAAAAGGATTGATTGATTATAATATAAGTATATTCTATATGAAAAATAATTCATTTTTATTTGGGTCCAAGGAAAGTCGTTGAAAGTGGCTGGTGTCAAGCTGGTGATCTTGTAATCGGAACATCATTCATATTTACCTTTCAAATTAGCCTCTCTTGGCCTTATGAGATTTTCAATGCGATTCGTTCATCATAAATTTCCATCAAAATTGGAATGAAATTATTTGTGGCACCATTTTTTGCGAGCGAGATTAAAAATGACGTGGAAAATGCTGCTATTCCTAATAGAAAACGCGTGCAATGCAATGCAAATGAGGTCGGTTTGCTATTTCCGCGGCGATGTCAATCAATCTGTGTGATAACATGGAGTATTTGTATCTAAAAAAAAATATTCGTGTTGATGTACATTTGCCAGAAATAAACAGCAACACGGAAGAACTTTGACCATGGAGGATTTTCATGCACAAGGCCGGGGCACGGGGCATCGCTTTCTGCCATTAGG